CGGATGCTGAGGATAGGAAATCCGTTAGTGGCTTCGTCTTTAAGGTCTTTGGGAACACCGTGTCTTGGGCAAGCCGCAAGCAACAAACCGTTGCACTGTCGTCGTGTGAAGCCGAGTATGCAGCTTTAAGTGCCGCGGCCTCCGAAGGGCTGTGGCTGCACGGAATCCTTGAAAACCTGAAGCAAGTTCGACCGGACACGGCATTCAAGGTGTACGAAGACAACCGTGGGTGCATTGCAATGGCCACAAACACCGAAAGCAAGCGTGTCAAGCACATCGATGTAAAGCACCATTTTTTGCGCGACCATGTGGCACAAGGAAGACTTCAAATCGAAGCAATTGATACAGCAAACCAAATAGCGGACACGTTCACCAAGCCCCTGGAACCTGGACGTTTCCGCGAACTGAGGACCCTCCTAGGACTGACCGATTCAGGGGGGGTGTTGGAGTAAATCGGTAACGCAGTGTGCTGATCACCTCCTTGGAGACCGAACGTCACCCCTAGCAACCTAAGTTTTCTTAAATAAACAACGGTGAAAAACTTTTCATTCCTGTTCAAGACTCCACTCAAGCTAGTCGTTAAATAAAATCCATTCTACTTTTAAACTTTGCTGTTCCGGTTCTTTCTAACCATCAAGAGTTTCGTACAACATCTCCTGGAAGTTTTTTTTTTTAAATTGCCCTGGAAGAATCTTCCACCTTTGTCCATTGTTCAACGGAAGTTTCATCATCTATTCATTCCAACAGTATCAGATTACAATCAGAATTTCTACCGCTGGAAGTGGAAACTATTGCCCATTTCATCCGGACTTCCCACGGAAAACTTTTCTGAATTATTCTGAAAGTTTCATCCGGCTGCCTAAATTTGCATGGAAGTCTCTTCTAACTTCGCCCGGGAGTTTCTCACAGATTGTGTCAGAAGCGTCTACCGGTTTCGTTGGAAAGATTCTTCGCCAGGATTCATCAAACTTTCTCCGGAAATTTCTATCAATTTTTCCCAAAAGTTGTGTGGTCATTTTTAATATAACATATATTTAACATGGTTTTCGTACAAAAAAAAACTGCTTCTCGGGAAGTCAAACTAGTTTTCTGGGAATCGGGAAGTGATAATTCTGGTAAATTTCCCGGGAAGGAAACACTAGATGGTGTGATTTAAAGACAAAGGAAGTAAGAATTTTGCCAAATGTTGTCAGGAGATTAACTTAGCTCATGAAATTTAAAGAGGTTTCATATTTTGTTGCACTACATGCCTGAAATGAGGAAACTCATAATTAATAATTATTATTAATCATTACGGTCTTTCGTGATAAGCAACATTTTATTTACCAGCATTCGTTAAGAAAGAGGGGTTTAAATCTCTGAGAATATTTAGCTGGAAAATGTCAGAGTTAGAGTCAACTATCTCCAGAAGCGTTCGTTGTTTTCCCTGATACTAGTGCAAAAAGACATCAATAGACACGAGTTGAAAAAGGTTGAACAGGAACAGGTTGAATTTTCATCGTCTGATGTTGTTGTGTTGATCGATATTTAACACAAAAGGAGCATTGTTGAATGCAGTCTTTTATTTAATTGTTCATCCCAGGTCCAAATAGGTTAGTTCTGGCCAACTTCATAGTTAATTCTATTCTGAAACTTATAAGAAGTTTGTCAATGAGCGATCGTCGAAATGATGTAGGAACCATCACATACCATTTTTTAATACTGGGACTGTCCAGAATTTACCTTTGGATTGACTGGATTATATGGAATCCCCCCCTGGACAGTCATTAATCCCCCTCAATATTGAGTGCATTTCTTCCTGTGATTGTCCGGAATCCTCCCTGGGATAGTTTATATTCCTTTTTTTTTATTTTCCGAAGTTACCTTTGATATTGTTGGAAAACCGAACTGGGATTGTCTGAAATTCGCCCTAGGCTTGTTCGGAATCTCTACTAAGACTGTCATAAATCCCCTTTGCGATTGACTGGAACCCTCCTAAAGATTGTACAAAATCCTCCTAATAAAACGTCATCGGCATGGCAGTAAAGCAAGACAGCTCTGACTATTCCGTAAGGTCACCATAGAAATCTTCCATCGATTTTGAGGGGACAGCTTGTAGTTCCTTTCATACACGTGCAATTGCCTTTTCATTGCAGAAAGATGCTCCTAGTAAAGCATTGCAAGCGCACCGTTTAAAATGTTGTTGCTTTGCTTTGCTTGACAGTATCGGTTGCTATATGTATTTTATGTTGAGCAACGCGAGTTACTCAGAAGTTACTCAAAATTAACTCCGATTTTACTCATGATCAAAAGCTGTCTTGCCCCAAGGTAGCAAGCGATTGCCCTGATTTCTTCATGCTAGGTGGTCGGAATGATTGTACGCAGTCCGGTGCGAAATGATGACCTACTTCTTTGGACAGGCATCAGGATGTGCGCTGACAATTGGATTTAGGATAATCCATGGTGAATCTTTGCGGAGATTCAAGTTCGTGGTTTGAAAATATTGTATTGTAGCAACATCAATAACAAATTTTGACACATGCACACTGCGCAGGCGCGGAAAAAGCTCAGTGTTACCACAGGTGCCGAACAGTGCCAATTACTGTGCCCACGTGTGTCCAATCTTGTTTTTGGCACACTGTGCGGAGTGATCATCCTCTAAAATCGCGATTAAATAATTATTATTTGAATTTTCTAAGGGGAAAAAATACATTTCAATTTCGAAAATCCAAACACCACTAAAACCGCGAATAAGGCCATATTTCCGGAGATGAATGCGATTAAACCTTTGGTTGAAATCAATCTTGATTTAGCGTTTTTTAACGCGAAAAAATATATTTTTAATTTTGATTATGTACACACCCCTGAAATCACGATAAAGAACATTTTTTCGGAGACAATGGGATCTGGATGCGATATTTGAAAAATCCCAAAAAAAAAATCCCAATAAAAAAAGCTTACTTTTCTCCAACTAATGTATTTGGGAGGCTCAATCAAGAGAGTTTTACGAAGCCATGATTCTTTAATTCCGTTAGACAAATTTATTCTAATTTCACGGTTTACAAAATAAACTAATTAAGTTTGAAGACCTTCATTCCGATAGAAGTCCTCCAACACAATACTCTCCAGTCACATTTGAAAAAATCAATCCTAAAAATCCCATTCGACAATCGCAGTAAAAAAAAAAATCTCAACATGTGGAAATATAATATTAAACATCATATTACATTACAATATTATCAACGTCGTCCGATCGTCGTCAACGTACCTTGATGATCCCAAATAAACAAAAAAAAAAGTGGTTGAAAAGACGCAGAGTAAAAACGAAAAGACAAAGATATTCAAATGATACGATCTCCTGGCAGTGGCAGCAGCAAAAGCAACAGGCTGCTGCAAGCTACGTCTGGCACGCGGGATCGATCGGAGGACCGATATCGAGAACGATCCCTTCCTCTTTTCCCCTCCGTTCCTCCGACTGATGATGATGATGATGGGAGAAAAGGAGTCTCACTCGATGGGCGACGGCCCCGAGGGAAGCCAGAAGAACCCCCCGATCATCGACTATCTCGTGTCGAAAGCGAGGAAAAAAATCAATAAATTTTAATATTCAATAAATGTCGTTCGTTCCCAGTCAGAGAATGGACGCACAGAGCGGGAGGAAAAAACAATAACGAGGTAGGTTGCGTTTAAAAAGGAATAACGAAATGCAAATTTGTCTGGGAACTGGGGGCGCATAGCGCAGCAGTGTGTCTTTACCATCCGCGTGGACACGTTTATGTTTATGGTTAATTTTACGGCCATGATTCGACTTTGGCAACTTTCTTAATTAAGTTTTGACAGGTTCGTTGTATTTTTGTTTCGTTAGGTTCTTTCCAAAACATTGAGCCCAGAATGCAAACGGAAAGTGTCAAATGCAAACACATCAGAAACAAAGCAAACGTTGACCCCATACTGCAAGTGGCTGCGTGCGCTTATCTTCAATCTGTCATCGCGTTCACGTTTTGCGGCTGAGTTATGGTTGCTTAATAAGATTGTGTCTCGTTTTCTAGTGAAAAATAACGCTGAATCGTCGACGAAATTCATAAATAAATATAAATTCAAGTCAATACCGTCCGAACGAACGGCCGCAAAGCTCGCGTGCTTCATTATTCTTGTCGCAGCCATTTGAGCAAGTTTTGAAATTAATCAAAACTTCAACGCTTGCCTTTGCTTTTGTCCCCGATCTGGTTGCACGTCCGAAGCCGCACGGCGTACGACGAGAGTTGATGCTCATCAAAGGCTCATAAATTTAGCATAATTTTTCCTCTAAACTTCAGAACCCAATGGGAATATCAATTTTTGGTTCCCGGCCAACGAGGATCGTTTAGGGAGAAAGAGAGAGCCAGTTTAGTATGCGTAGCGAAGCGCCGGTAAAAACACGTGTTGGCCATGTCAACGTTGGGTTCTAATATAGGATGTGACGCGACGACGAATGCGCTTTCTTGTTCGTTCCAATGCAGGCGTTGGGCTGTGCTGTGCCGTGGCGAACGGAAGGCGAAGAATTGGCTAATTTGTAGAGTGCGGAATGGCACGTCTAGAACAAAAAACCGACCGACCGACGCGCGATGTCGGAATGTGCCCAAATGTATTACGTACAAATGAATGAAGATATATCAGGTTGTCAACGGACGAACGAGTGCTGGCAGAAAAATAAGATGAACGTGTCTGACGAAAATACCGATCCGCGAGAAAATATTCATAAAAATAATTAAATTAAACGAAAATGAGAATGACAGCGATGGCAAACGAAAGACGAGATGTTTGATGATTGCGAAGCTTATAAAATATACGAGTAGAATAACAATTAAGAGGTTTGATGATACAAAGTAAATAGAATAATGATTATTCATACATTAGGAAACAAACTGATTATAAAAATCAACAAGAGTTAGTTGCCATGACGACAACTGCTTGCACATCAACTGCAAAGACAATAATAGAAGGACATTTCACAATATGTTTGCAACAACAAAAAACAACAATCTCTATCACTCCTGAAAGTTGAACTTTCCCGAAAAGCTAATATTATTTCCGTTAATTGTTATATATTATCATTGAACAAGCTTCGTTTGCACTATTAAATATGTGTAAATAAAGGTAATAAACTGTAAGAATAACTCAAAAACAATACATTAAATATTATCAACCGCTATTTGCACCTTCATTTCGCATATAAACGCGTAATTTCGATCTCTAACTTCACGTTAAAGTAAAAGCTGAACGCATTACACTTGCCCCATCCGAATAACTCTTCTCACAAAGAAAAAAAAACACATGTCCAATAACACTTAAATATTAGTTAAAAAATTTCACCTACTTAGTAAAAAAGAGAAAATTGTTGTCTCAATATCGTATACATTCGTTACTCAGCATTTGCTTCTTCTATTCTCAGATATGACTTACCGACTTCGAGCTCCCTCTTACAACCGGTCGAACGCCTTCGTGCTGGTCAGAATATCCCGGCACAGCTTCCACACGTGCTTGGACGCATTGTCCAGTGCCGTCGGGGACTTGCCCTTGAACAGATCCAAACTCGGCAGAAAGTAGTGCGGACAGCGTCGATTCTGCAGGCAGGAAATCATCTGCAAAAATATCCCATTCAGCCGATCCCCGATGCAGTTGGCATCCCATTCGGCCTCCCGCGGGTGCTTCTCGCACTCGTACAGCAGCAGCGTCTTCAGATGGTAGTACGTGATGGGGACACCCGGCAGGTCCAGGTGCCGGTCGCAGAGCGTCTTCAGTATGCTCAAGCACCGCTTCCGGTAGCCTCCCTGCAGCAGTCGATTCTCCGCTTCCGTGAAGTGCAGAATCCACGCATCCCCTTCGATGTTGGCGTTCTTCCCCTGCAGGATAACGCTTTCTTTGGACAAAAGATCGAACCCCTCGGACTTCACCTCCGCCACCAGGGCCGGATGGGGCCACGGGATGTGCGGAATCGGCCAGTGGGCTGCCGACCGCGGCCAAATCCCGGTGCACTTGAATGCTGGCGTTATCTGGACGATGTACCGTTCGCGAATCTTCAGCTTAACCTCGGTCGTGTCCGGGATCAGTTTGACCATTTCACGGTAGGGACACTTTTCGACCGCCTGTGCGACTAGAGTATGAAATCGGGAACGGATTTTCCGCGCCGAGAGGTACCCGGACGCGGTGATGAATTCCACCCACAGCGACATGGAACGCTTGCGGCCATCGCTCAGCTTCAGGACAGCCGCTCCCGGGAGGGATCCATCGTCAACGAAGTTGAACACGCCCATCTGGTTCAGGTAGAGGACCACCTCGAACGAGGTCGGAGTAACTACCTCTATGCCTTCGAATCTGTTGAATGGAAGACGGATAAACAAGGTTTCGTTAGTAATATTCTCAGAAAAGTCTTCTTTACTCGTTTTGGGAAGGTCTGCACATTTCTTAAATGCTCCTATGTTACTCTATGTCAGTTGCTATTGGACCCTATTCGGCGTTGCGAGTGAGGTGAGGTGACTCACAGTCACTAGTGAGGTGACAATAGCCGCCCCGAGTAAGGTGACTCTCCATTTGATTCTCACAATAAGGGGGATTTACTTTACGCTATTTACGGTCCTTAAAAACAATTATTATGTAAAAATCCGAATTTACCAATTTTACTTTTGGGAAAAAAATGCTCAAGCCTGCATTCTGCGAAGAAAAGAAAAATTGGATGTTCCTTTGTGATCGTAGCCACTTGATATATCCACAGTTGCACTTGTTTTTGAGTTCGCATGTGATTTGCGGAACATGCGCGGATGTGTCCAATGTGGTACTGGGAGCTTGATATTTAACACGATTCAGATTCCGGAACCAGATGGCCAGTTCCATGTTCTATAAGACCACAATACCTTCCATTTGGCGGTTGTTGCGACCACTTCAGTCCAAGCAACCAGAACCACGGCTAAATTTAATTCATCCCTAGGGGCATCCCACTCTAAACTATAGCTCTAGTATCAATTAAGTATTTCCATGTATCTGATAAGTATTCTTAAGTATTTTAAGTTTTTGATTTTTTTTAATCGTAGTAACCGTTTTCTAATGTAGTTATTTGTTGTTGTGTATTCCGTCAATGTATTACTTCAATCCGTTAAAAATAAACGAAGTAGTGTAATCATGTTTATGAGAAAGTACTAAGTAGAATATGAAATAGATCATCAAAATACCATTTTTTTTCTGAGCGAACCGGTTGGAGCAGGGACTGCTATTGGATCGAGAATTTTTCCGATCCGAATTATTTATGATTTCGACCTGGCTTTCAGTACGATATCCAAGTTTTGAATTCTATTGCTTAGCTGGAGGCTAATGGTGCCGTTGTCGTCCAGACTCGCAACCAAATTCCAAACTGAGCTTCCTAACCTACCAGTCTGAACTGCCATAATAAAAGCGTATGTTGGACGGAATTTCGGCTAAGAATTACTGCAAGCTGCATGAGTATGGAATTCTTGACTAGGATACTAGGACTATGCTAGTTGTTTGTCAGAGAGCAATAAAAATACAATGAAGCATAACATAATTGCCTTTAAATTGAACTGATTTAAATTGCCACTGGTAGCCGTATCGTGCCGCGTTTTGAGAAACTTACATTGGTTACGACGAGAAACTTACATCGGTTACGACGGACTGGTGAGGGAGTTGAGTGAGTATCCTGATAGTAGCCGAAATATTTATGTGAAATCAACTTGATTATCAATCTTTTAGGCTTTGAAACCAGTAAAGAAGAGAAGAGCTTTGAGTGGGTTGGTTTATTTCCTTTAAATTCCGTTATAAATGCTTATCTTTTGACAGATACACGTATTTCGTCTACTACTTGCAGACTTCATCAGTGCCAAGTACTCAACACCACTAACTTGGCACTGATGAAGTCTGCAAGTAGTACACGAAATACGCGTATCTGTCAAAAGATAAGCAATTATAACGGAATTTAAAGGAAATAAACCAACCCACTCAAAGCTCTTCATGAAGGGATTCCGTTAAGAGGTTCGACAAATTTAAAGGATTAATGAAAAGAAGGAAAATATAAATCTGTTCTGTAATATTAATTAATTTCAAACCATTGATATTCCAAATAGAACGATAACTTATTTTTTCTCATTTTGTGTAAGATTATAAAATAAAATATATGAATTTATTTCAAACAATTTCCCAAACAATGTTTAAAGCGATTCCGAGATTAACACAAAGCGGATATGTGGTTCGTCATGTTAAGCCTTAACACCAGGAGAGCATCGAAGGTTCCAATTCCGAGGAAATGTGATTCACTTCTACAATAAAGTCATTCGGCGGCAATCTAGGAGATGTGGCTTTCTGGATGCCATAAGGACTTATGATACGGAAAGCTTTCACAACTTCGTATTCAGCTTCAATCAGCGTAAATGTTTGAAGTTATCGTCCCACGGTCAAGATCCTAATGAACGAAAAATTCATCTTTATCAATAGATGGTTTTGGGATGGACAAATTTGTTTCGAGGATTTTTTTCTAAACGCACTTTCTTTTACAATAACTTTCCAAATAGCTCCTTATTCTTTCTTTGAATGGAAGGTGAACCAGTTTGGCAATGTAATATTCCTTGAATCAAAGTGGTCTCCTCCTCGATTCCTATACAAAAGGAATAAATAAAAAAATAATTGTTGAATTTCTAAATACGCACACACAAAATCCCAGATGACACCGGGTACGAATGAAATCTGTCTAGCAACGGTGGTAACACACTAGCGCTAAATATTTCTTACGTATTTTTAAGTATTTTCAGGTATCTTAGATATCAGTAAGAACTTTCTGAGTATAATGCGAGAAATACAAAGTTTAGAGTGGGATGCCCCTAGATTCATCCCATACGCGGTAATCGAAGTGTGCTCTGCTTCTGTCCTGACGTGGAAAAATTACGAATGTCAAATTTACGGATTTATTTTTTTCTGGAATTGATTTTTTCATCGTGTTTAGCTTGAAACAATGTGCCAACATAGTTCTAGAAAAGAACTTTACTGCAAAGTATTCCAACATCCTTTGCGTAAGAACTGTTATTAGACGATTGGAAGATGTTTCTGATTGGAGGCGGATTGTGCAAGAGTTTCTTTGAAGATCCGATGGAATGTTTTGAAATGTTGAGCTAGAATTAGGAGATGCAACAGTCTTTCAAGTTTTTGCTTCACGGGTAGTTCATTTGGTGAGTTCGTTCTTTTTTATCAGTTGTCTAGAACTTAGACATCATTTCGAAGAGCCACTTTCGTGCTGTAATGTGTTAAGGAATGTCGAGCGCGCTATTTTCAAAGGCTGGGAACGAGTGAAAAAGGCTAAGTTCTAGCACAGATTTGCCCATTGGTTCATACGAAAAGAGAGTCGTCCAAGTGCTTTTGTTTCTGGTTTTAGACGTTTGATATCTTCAATGATGTTTGTGCACTTGAAAGTACCCTTATTTGTTATCATGATGTGATCATCTGAACAGTTTTTGAACTAGTTTGGAAATAGCCCGGAAAAGTCTTGGAACAGTCTTTGGTTCAACAGGACAGGAGTAAAAAATTATTAAATTGTTTGAGATCTTAACTTAGTTGGCATTTGTATGTACTTAAATTTATAATGTATTCTCGTTCTATTTCTCTCTACTCAAATCTAGTTCTCATCTCTTTGTGTAGCGTTGGAAAATTTCACTAGATTTTATGAAGCTCCCAAAAAGAAAAGTTCGCGAGTCTTTGTGAGTTTTCGCGAACTTTTCCTGTAGATTGATTAGAAATCCGCTTTTTCTTAGTCTTTTGTTCCATTCTTTTCTTTTCCGAAAGTGAGTAATGGCGCTATAACCATAACTCTTGTCCTAGGAGTTAGTGCTCATACCCCGACCACTAGAGGAAAATGGAGCATCACTTTTTAGACCTTTTTAGACTAGAGGATGCCAACGGCCAAGCATTTAAAAATAACAATAAAGGGTGATACGGTCAAAATTTGGTCAATATCAACTTGACGTATTTCTTTCAATTTTGCATTTAAAAAACCTGAACACCTCTCATTTTGAAGGTGTGTGTGTGTGTAGAATGTTGCTCCTATTTTGATTTTGGAATTCACTCTTCAGTTGTCAAAATGCCGTCCAAGCAAGAAGAGCAGCGTATCAAAATTTTGCTCGCGCATCGCGAAAATCCGAGCTACTCGCACGCAAAGTTGGCAAAATCGCTAAAAGTTGCCAAATCAACCGTTACAAATGTAATTAATGTGTTTGGGGAACGTTTGTCGACAGCCAGGAAGTCTGGATCGGGGGGAAATCGAAAACCGGAAGCCGCTGAGACGACAAAGAGAGTTGCCGGTAGTTTCAAGCGAAACCCTAACCTCTCTCTCCGAGATGCCGCAAATAAGCTGGGTGTATCGTCTACAACCGTGCATCGAGCCAAAAAACGAGCCGGACTATCGACTTACAAGAAGGTAGTGACTCCAAATCGCGATGATAAACAAAATACGACGGCCAAAGCGCGATCCCGGAGGCTGTACACGACGATGCTGACGAAGTTTGACTGCGTGGTAATGGACGACGAAACCTACGTCAAAGCCGACTACAAGCAGCTTCCGGGACAGGAGTTTTATACGGCAAAAGGAAGGGGAAAGGTAGCAGATGTTTTCAAGCACATGAAACTGTCAAAGTTCACAAAGACATATCTGGTTTGGCAAGCCATCTGTACCTGTGGCTTGAAAAGCAGCATTTTCATAGCTTCCGGGACTGTCAACCAAGAAATTTACGTGAAATAGTGTTTGAATAAACGTCTGCTGCCTTTCCTGAAGAAACACGGTTGTTCCGTACTGTTTTGGCCGGATTTGGCATCTTGCCATTACGGTAAAAAGGCCATGGAGTGGTACGCCGCCAACAACGTGCAGGTGGTTCCCAAGGACAAGAACCCTCCCAACACGCCAGAGCTCCGCCTAATTGAGAAATACTGGGCTATTGTCAAGCGGAACCTAAAGAAGACCAAAAAACTGCTAAGGGCGAGCAGCAGTTCAAGGCAAACTGGCTTTCTGCGGCGAAGAAGATGGACAAGGTGGCTGTACAAAATCTGATGGCAGGGGTCAAGCGTAAGGCCCGGCAATTCGGATTTGGAAAAGCGGAAGCCTAACTGAATATTTTTCCTGAATTTTATACTAATTGAACTTGAAAAAGAAATTTAATTTGATTTTTTAAATAAACGATTTCACCGATTTACACGCGTTTTCCCTTGACCAAATTTTGACCGTATCACCCTTTAAGGTACCAGGCGATAATCAGGGTAGTTGATCGATAGCTCGATGACGTCATTTCGTTGGCGTCTGCAATGGGCAATTCTCATAGTAGGCGTTGACG